ACTTCGCCATTATCATCAGAGAAGCTTGGGACCATGTTACTGAGAGTGGCTGTGGTTAACTTAGGGGAGCTCTAGTTCTTACAGGGAGCGTTGCTTCTTGGCTCCGGAGGGGAAGATGATATGCTGTGCCATCCCTGGGAAAAGCTTGTCATGCTGGCTTCCTGAGGTGAACTCAGCTGTTCTCATCAGAGGAGCTTGGGACCTCATGGTCACTGAGGATGGCTGTGGTACTTTTCAGGGCAGCCCTGGCTGTTATTTTGAGTGCGGCTTCGTGGCTCCAGTGCAGAACCCTCATCCTACTGGCACATCTCCCTCACCCTACTGGCATGGACTTTTTCGCTTCCACCGCTGAGCCTTAGGTCTTTCCAGCGCAGATCTATAAAACAAACTTGGGTGAGTCTTTGTGGTGGTTTGCAGTTGGACTCGTGGGAGGAATTGTTGGGCTCTAGGTCTTCAGCTGGACTCATCCAGGACATTGCTGTGGGGTCCAGGCCCTCAGCTGGATTTTCTAAGTCTTTAATGTTCTGGACATATTTCCTGCACTTTCTTGTACTTAACTCTGGGTGAGCAACATAAAATAATATAAATTCTGTGTTCTTATGTAATTTTTCTCTTTGCAACTCTTTGACTACAACAAAAATTAATTCTGTCTTGGTTACTTTTCTTTCATTGCTGAGACAAAATACTTGACACCCAAAATTAGGGAAGGAAAGGTTTATTTTGCTTACCGTTTTGGAGGTTTCAGTCCATACTCAGCTGGCTCCAAGGCAGGGTGGTGTGGCCAAGGGTCAACAGTTCATGACTCCTGGAAGCACCAAGAGGGAGCAGGGGAAAACCACACCTCCTCCTCTCCCTTCTATCACCTGCTCCTGGGCAGGTGCAGGGCTCACACCGCCAACCCCAGTGCTAGACAACGAACCAATCACAAATGCTAGACACAGCTGCCTTAGAAAGGCCCACTCCCCATGACTGCTGAGGCTTTGGGGGGACATTTAAACAAACCCAATAGAGAAGCCCTAAGAGGCTGGGGATGTAGCTCAGTGGCACAGTGCCTGCCTGGCAACTGTGAGGGTGTGAGCTCATTCCCTGGTGTTGCCTCTCAGCTTACCATTGTTTACTTCCCTTTTAACTCTCCTGCCCGATCATTATGGTTATAGCCATCATGCATCTCTATAAAATTTGTCGATCTTGTTTTATTCAGTAAAAAAATCTCCATTATTTAAGGATGAAAATCTTCAATTTTATCTCCGTCTATTCCTGACATTCTATGCCCCTGTCTCTCCAGCATCATTGTAACTCTAATAAGAACAACATTCAGGGGCTGGAGGTTTAGCTCAGCGGCATAAGCGCCTGCCTTGAAGCAGGCAGTTATGAGTTTGGTTCCTGGTACCGATAAAAAGGAAAAAAACACACACAAAAAACAATGTTCAGCTTTTACGTTATGATAACCATGTAAACACTGTTTTACCACCAGGTTATATGGTAAACTGTGACTACCTTTATTTTCAACTGCAAATATCTTTTATCTCTTGGAATTTGTGTCATATTTTCCATTTGCTTCGTTTTTTATGTACTTAATTGGTTCCATACTATCTAATTAATATTTTGAAACACACTAAGTACCATATCAGTTTCATATCATGTAAGAAGACTCTTTCAAAGTCCTTTCCTGTTAGACTAATATGCCTGTGCTTGCCAGACAGCCATGGAACTGGGATCTTTCTTATCTCATAACAGGGACTTTCTTGGTTTCCCTCCTGTGTTGGTTCCTTTGGCTCTGAGATCCCATACATTCCCCCTTGATTTATCCCCCTATTTAGGTGAACCATAGTTTCCAATGGCATTGATCTTAGCCAAAAGGCTGAGAAATGATCCAATACCATTTTGAGGGATGATGCATAGGTATTAAGTTTCTGTAAATGTATAGCTAAAAATGTTATCTAGCCTTCCATTTAATTTATTAAAGAATAGGATATAAAATACTAGGTTGGAAGTAGTTCATCTTTTTATCTGGTCAGTGTGCTTATGAAAACATGTGATTTTATCATTGTTATATCAGTCAGTTTTCACAATACTGAGTCACAATACCCAACACCCACAATTTAAAGGAAGAAGGGTTAACGTTACTCACAGTTCAGGGGATTTAGTCCATGGATAGCTGGACCCAGAGCTGGATATCAGGACAGAAAATTGTATCAAAGCAAAGCCTCGTAGTTCATGTGCACCAGAAAGCAGGGCAGGGAAACAGAACGAGAAGAGGAAGTGCCAGATACCATATATAGTACCCAAGGCCATGCCTCCATGAGCCATAGAAACGTGATAAAAATATGCGCATTAGTAATCTTCTAGATGGCTGCCAAGCCAATCAAGTTGCCACAATTAACTATTATACTCCATATTCTTAGAACATTCTTTTTCTTTTTTAAAAGAATCCACTGTTTTGGGGTACTCACAATCTAATTTGGAAATTCTTTAAGATATCTGCTTTCACCTTTGGTAGAACAATGGAATTTTTAAAAATTCAAAATTTCAAAATAAACTAAATGTAATTTTATTCATCAGCATCGTAGAAAACAAAAATAACTACCTTTTCATTTACCTTTGAGGTCAGTTTCCACCTCCTGTATATGAACTTTTTATTCCTAGGAACTAGGTTACTCACTTTATTGGGACAAAAGTACTTGACATCCATAACATAAAGAAAGAGAGATTTCATATTGCTCATGGCTTAGGGGAATCCAGTCCATGGTTGGTTTGCTCCAAGCAGAAACCACATGATAGAAGGGCCTGATATAGGAAAACTGTTCACCTCATGGCAATCAAGAAACAGAGATAAAGAGAGAACTCAAGAACAAGAGTACATCTTTCCAGTTACACACACATCCAGCCCTCTAGTGACACTTTTCCAGCCAGGACTTGCTGCTTATAGCATATTTAGCTATGATCTCATCCACCCATAAGTATGGTATGGTCCAGCTGCCTTCCAAAATCCCTGCCCCTGAATACATGAAACTTTGGGGGGATATTTTAGATATTCCCAAATTTACTTCATTATCACACTTCTGTATCTCTTCTTATCAAGTTTTTGAAGTTCAAAAATATATCTGTGTTAAAATGCTGCCTGTTCTTCAGGTTTCACTTGATTTCCTATTTTATTTATTTTTTAAAAAAATTTAAATAGAAAACAAGAAAAGTCAAGAAGCAAACAAACCAAAAAATCAACAACAACAAAACAAAATGATAACAACAAAAAACAATAAAGATATAAGATTTCAAAACAAGATAATGGGAATTGAATAGGGGTTATTATATTGTATGTTGTTATCTTCAAAATAATTGCCCAGGTTACCAGATACAGGGATAAAACAAAACAATAAAACAGAACAAAACATTGGATTTCAAAAACAAGACAGAAGGAAATCCCTCAATTTGCTATAATGCATATTGTTATCCTCCAAACAGATGCTCAGACTTTAGGCCTGCAAAATCAATCAAATAATACAAGCATTAACTTATTTATTTATTGTTTACTTCAGTTGCTATCAGCGTAGTCTGAGTTCCTCTGAACCAGTTCACTGGGCTGGTGGGGGTGACATTCTTCTTCTTGTCTCCCAGCCCACATGGCTACCACTGGCTCACAGGAAGGCATGGGCTCAATTTCCTATTTTATTCATGAAATTTTCTCTATTTGCTTCTAACAAAAAAATGTAGTCTTTGTAAAAAATTATTTTTTCAAAAGTTATTCCAATGTCCATAAACTATTTATATGCAAAGTTAAGGCTGCCTATTTTAGGCAGCTAAAAGACATAAATTCATTGCAATTTTAAAAAGAAAAGCACATATTTAAAATGTTAACCATCTGTTGTTTCAAATCAGAACAGAATATAGTATCTGCAGTCTTCCTGGAGGTAGACAGTGAAGTTCCATAGTTAAGTAATTTTTTTATCCTGATTTTTATTTCAAATGAATTAGAAACTTACCTTTATTTATCGCTGAGAATGGGAGCACTATTTGATACAGTTTGTATTAAACATGAACCTGGAAGTTAAGCAGAGCTTGTTTACTGAGAATGACTTCCACCCCTCTCTTAGGCACGCATAAATGAGCACACACCAAAACAGTAATACTGACAGCATGAGGCAGAACTGTGTTTCATTTAGCTCGGAAACGTTTATTGTCTTTCAGCACTTGGTGGAGTGGGGGGATTTAAAGTTTGCACAATAACATCAGTAATGCCATTCTCTGAAGAACGAAAAATATCTAGTGCTTCACAAGAAGAAAAATCAATGCTGTAGTAAATTTGAACCATAATTCTGTATTCTTTAGAAATATAAATTTTGTTTTCAACATGAACATATGAGTTTTGAAGTGTTGGTTTCTTATTATTCTCATACAATTACACAGTATGAGTTTCATTGATTTTTTATTGGCATTTAAACTGTCATGAGATAGTGTTTTAATTTTGTGACTCCTTTTCTTTTTTTTTCAGTTATTCAGCAATAATTTTATTTTTATTTTAAAGGGGGTAAAATTAAATACAACATAGCAGAACAAAATAGAACATAAGAAAGTAATGTAAGAGATATAAATTTTAAAGCTTAGACAACCTGAGATCTTCACTATCTATCATATTGTCTCGTTTTCTCCCAAATAGTTGTCCATATCTTCGCATACAGAGAATTCATACAAAACAATGTAGTATAAAACTGATCCGAACAGAATGAGGAAGGTGTTTTAGGTCTTCAAAACCAGACAGTAGGGAAGTCACTAATGGCTGCCTTAGAGTCTCTTGTTCTCTTCAAAATAGCTGTCCATACTTTCATGTGTATTGAAGGTCAACAAAACAAAACAGGCAGGGGGAGGGAGGGTTGCTTGGTTTCGCGGTGCTCCAGGTCCCAGCATGGCGCAGGTCCCAAAACACTGGAGACTTCTGACCTGGGCCTGCGGAGCCTGCCACACTCACAGCTGCTTACAGGAGGGGTAGGGGAGGGGTTGTTTCAAGCTGTTTCTTTCTAATCAGACCATTTCACTGCCCAAGTTCTGAAATGGCCAGCAGACCACTGAAAGACATCTCTTTAGGCTCCTGTTTGAAACCAACAGTGTCAGGAAGCTGCCAGCCTTGATTCAGGGCCAATGACTCCTTTTCAAGAGTCATGCAGAAAACTTCCCTTCAAAAGCTAGTTAATGACTTAGGAAGAAGCGTCACCATTTACTTACTCATGATTTCTTCCTGTAACATGTGAAAAGAGATATACGCATTACCACAGTTAATTATATTTTTAGTTTCATTTAATTTGACTCATTATCAGGAGTCATATTTTCTACATGATTCTTCTCTGTGACGAGAGGTGTATATAAATTAGTGTTAATATAAACTCTTTTATTTATTTTCAGCGCATGTCTTTTTCTTCCTGCATACCCAGCTAAAGCCTTTGAATTAACTATTTGGAGTTTATGTCAGGGGTTAGTAAACTTTTTCTGTAAATGATAAAGAGCTAATGTTGTAGGCTTTGCTAGCCTTTTGGATTTTTGCAATTACTTTCCCATTGTAACATGAAAACAGACATAAACAGTGCGTAAACAACATGCCTGCCTTTAAAGATGTGTATTTACAGTCTTTGCCATGTCAATTTCACATAATTTTCACATGTAGAAAATATTGCTCTTTATTTTCTTTTTTGAACCATTTAAAATATAAATCTACATGTGGACTACTGAACTTACCAGGGATCTTGCCGGATTTGAATTGCAGGCCATCGTTTGCTGACCTATGTCCTATCTTATACCTCAGAAAGAAAATCAATTAATCAAATGAAAAGTTCTTTTTCATGTGGTGTGGGTTTTAAGCAATAAATGAAACAAAGATCATCAAAGAACTCTATCTTACACATATTGCTTAGATGCTAACATCAAAACCATGACTTGATCACTAGTGATTAACAGTGAAAGGAGTCACCTGCCAGAACATAGAGAATCACTGCTCTTCTACATTGTATGTCACTTATTTTACGCAACATCTATTGGCATCATTTGAAAGAATTTGACTGATGGCTTAACTTTTCTTTATTTGTTCATCAGCATGCTGGTAAAAATGTTTAACTTGTGACATTCAGGTTTATGATGACTTTCTTACATGCTCACTTAGATACTTATTTTTTCTGTAAAAGTCACAATAAACAAGATCCCAGTTCAAGCTCAACTGCTATTTAAGAGAAATATATATTCATTTGTGTGTGTGTGTGTGTGTGTGTGTGTGTGTGTGTGTGTGTGGTGGGCACTGAACTAGGGCCTTGTGCCTGGAAGGCAAGAACTCTACCACAGGGCCACATCCTCAGCCCTCAGAAATATGTATTCATGAGAAGGTATTTATGTATATATGTATTAAATTTGATTTATGTCTTTCATCGATTGTGGAAAATAGCCATTATTTCTTTGAATATACCATGCTTTGATGTTCTAATATTTTTCTTTGGAGATACTATTATTATATGAAAACCCTAAATTTTTATCTTCCATGTCTCTTAAACATTCTTAAAATTTTTATTATAAATTTCTTTTAGCATAAAATTAATAAATTACAGAAAATAATATAATCTACACCCATAAATCATCTTTGTTAAATCTCAGCATTTTGTTCTATATGTTATAAGTAATTTTGAGAAATATAAGTATAATTACATATAGACACACATAAATATACACACAATTATAGAAGTATAATTACATATAGACACACATATGTAACTAAAATCTCCTGGATAGCTTCTCTGAATCTATCCCCTTTCCTAAATTAACAACATTCATATCACATATGATGATCACATATATCAAACTATTCTTCATGTACAGTTTATCTCTGTTTTAGTGTATCGATTAAAAGATCCTTACTTAATTTAAGGTCATATGGAAGCAAATAAATTTATACTTTCTTCTGATGTTTAAAAATGTTTCCTTCTGGAATATCTTCAACACATCTGGTTTATGTTCATATAGAGTGAGGTAAAAATACAGTGTTAAACTTTGCATATGATATGCAATAGTTCAAACATATTTTATTAAATAAGTTCCTTTTCCACTGGTTTCAGTAGTCAATTCATCATAGATCAAGATTTTGTGAATGTAATAGTTACATGTATTATGGATATAATAGTTAATATATGTTCTACGAGCTTATTTTTCTAATTCCCACGCAATATGACATTGTTTCAATTATTATGCATTAGATAGGTTATTGATACCTGGTAGGATGCATTGTTTGTATATGTTTTTTAATATTCTGCTCTATCTCCAATGTAATACAGATTTTTTTGTTTTGCTTTTAAAAGCTTCAGAGTAATATGTGTAGCAGGTGTGTAAATCTGAGTATCAGTCTAGTTGGTCATGTATCTGTCTTGAATGATTGTGTACTGAGGGCATGAGTTTGTGTAGCTTTGTAAAACTGATTGATCTTACAAGAAGGATCACTGCAGATGGGATCCTTGGGGGCATATGTCGTTGCTGACAAGTGTTTCAACAGATAATGTACCAGGACTGGTGGGAGTGGGTCAGTTTTCCAATGAAGTCCTCTTATATTATATTTATCTTATCTTACATTCATCATCATACTTAGCCCCACTTTTCTTTTTGGCTGTTTGTGCCTTTTCTTTTTGGCTGTTTGTGCAAAATCATTACACATTTAGATTTATTTGCTCCTGCTCAGGCCGGTTTGCAATCTATGTGAAGAACTGCTTTTATGTATGCTTCAATCCCTCCTTTAATCGTTCCTTTTCATCTTTAATGAAGTGGATATATTTTCTTTGAATTGTGATAACACAGTGAAAATGCAAATATAACCTATCAGGGACCTGGGCTAGATCCCCAACCTCCCAAATTAGTGTACAGTAAAGGCTTGAATAAATGAGATAAGTGCTATGATTTTAGGGCCTCCAGGAGGATCAAAACTGTCTGCAGAGTTCTGGGACTCTGGGGGCTAAAATGGGGATGTCTCTGGGCAGCCTGTATTTATTTAGGGGTGGAAAATGCAGGAAATTGGACAGAACTTGGGAGTGGTTCAAGGACTTTTCTAAGTAACAAATTATGTTAATTTAGGAGGAGTATCTTATGAGAAGATCTCCTTGTTGCATTTCACTACAGGAGTGAAGTGCCTGCAGCTATAGTCTTTATTTAGTCAACTGGAGTTAGAGCCAGGTGTTCTCTGCCTGCCGGGCCATGCAGCAGCCCTGCATGTGTGTTCAATTTTCAGTTTTAATGGCTCCCAACGAGAACCAGTGTAAATGACGATATTCAGCTGCCTTGAAAGTACCATGAATCAAGACCATATTGCAGCTCAGTTGAATGCTAAGCAAGAGTGGCCATCAATGCAGCCCAACCTCTAAAATCTTAGAATTATTAGAGTACGATGAAACTTTAGCAAAACTATAATTAATTTTAAATTTCTAATTTATGAAATATATGTGAAACTGTATTGGAAGTTTTTTAACATTCATAATTGCTAAACAGACTATTGGAGGACCATCACAGACCATAGGGGAGGATAGTCCAGGTTATGAGGAAGATGTTTTGAAAAATACTGTCCTAAGGCATTTACTTTCAAGTGTCATAATTTTGTACATCCTGTGTTTCAGAGAAGAATAATTTTAAAAATCCTAGAAATATAATCGGACGGAAGAGCAATTAGAACCTCACATGTAGCCAGATCTAGATTCTGACATTTGTCACCTTGAACTTCACTCTGTTGCCCAAGAAATCCCCCAGGACATCTTATCCCACTTTCCATAGGCTTTCAGAGAACATAGCCATTGTTCCAAGGATAGTCTTGGTTTGTTGTTGTTGTTTGCTTGTTTGTTTGTTCTTGTGCTGCTGGGGATTGAATACAAGCTCTTTGCCCTGAGCTAGCATTTTTTTAAAAGATGGATTCTCTTTTATAATGAGATGTTTCTGTGAATGTTTTCATCATATTTTAAGTTTTTCAAAATAATCACGCTTTTGGTTTTAAAAGTTTAAAGTACTAAAAGATTTTTAAAAACTTGACACAGCAGTTCTCCTGACTTTTACATTTGAATAACATTTCCCAAAAGCAACCACTTTAGACTTTGAATTATTTTTCCCCTGGTATTTTACTTTCATATAAATGTAAACATATAAACATATATAAAAATAAATACAAATATAAATATAAATACTTGGAGCTTTTGTTTCCATGCAAGGAAGTTACAGATAGATATAGCTGTGAATGTAGATAAATGTATTTTTTTCCTATTTCATCAAAAAGCATTTTTTTTCAAAAAGCATGTTAACCACTTAACAGTTTACCTCGGGCCTCACTCAAGACAGCGTGTTTGTTTACGTGTTGAGTATCCTGAGAGTCATTCAGACTGTTTCAACCAGTAAATTCTTGTATTCAGTAAGTTTGACAAAATTGTGGGTTTTGTATTTCCTGTTATATTATCCTATGAAGAGTAATGAAAAATATACAAGTTTTGGTCATCCTGTACTTAACTGAACTGGTAAGCGGTTAAGTTAATTTTTGTGATAGCGGATGACTTTTGCTTTCTCAGCTTGTTTAGCTTCTTTTTCCAAATACGGTGTTAACATAAGTTTAATTACATTCATGTGGCATTTTCATTTCAACCATTTTTATTATAAGTTTTACAGCATGGAAATACATCTTCTGGCATCTTATTTGGGGAATTCAAAAAACAAATCTTGATGACACAGTTCTATTATAAGAAACTTCTCAATAGCCTTGGGGGTTGCTGAGATCCACAAGCCTCTGCATTTTAGCTTTGGAATGATGTGTCTTGTTTTCTGACGTGCATTTGAAGTCCTCTGTCATGAACCTAAAGCCACTATCAGGTTTATTTTTTATTATTCCTTCTATAACCAAAGTGTCCCTCGTCCTACCAGCCTCCATTTTTACTGTCTGCATGTTTATTGCTTTTCCACTGATACAGCAGGAAGTTGGCTGAATAGGAATTGGTTCATTAAGCATGTAAACATTGTATCTAAAACACAAGTAAATAAGTCCTGAGTAATAGCTAAGGAATATTCTCCTGTAGTATCCTGTAAGATCTCTCTGGTGGTTCACGTACTCTTCCTCCTCCTGTTATTGGATATGTTCTGGATAGTTCACTT